TCTCTGTGTGTGTGTGTGTGTTTGTTTTCTTTTCCCCGAGGGAAGACGGAAGCCCACCCAATCAGGCTGGTATGAGACAGAAATAGCCTGGTCAGTTTATGAGGGCACTGACATGGAGCATATTGGCTAACTGAATGATGGCAAAGTGGTTAGAGAGATGGTGGGTGGGCTCTGTAGGAGCTGGCTTTGCCGGCATTGGGTTTAGGGTTTACATGGGTTGATTAGGGGGGTCTATCAAGTATATGACAGGGTCTACTCACGGATGGCTTAGCTCTGGGGTAGGGTAGGGATATAAGTCACTCCGGCTAGTCTGAGTTCCGCGCCTAGCCTTGGGTGAGTTAGGGGAAGGACAGTAGGATGTGTCCATGGGTGCTGGCTTGCCTTGCTTAGGTACTCCTGCTGGGTAGACTCTCTGAATTTGGCCTGGAGAAGATTGCATGAGCCTGGCGTCCGATTCCCGTACGGCAAGGTTCGTCCGCTTCCGCTTCCACTAGGGCTGGGGGGTTGGCCCAGCCTTGGTGCTTGTCACTGCTGTCTGGTCCAAGTTGCCCTTGATACTGGTAGGGTGATGGTCCTGAGTACTGGTCACACTGAGGTAGGATAGTAGGGACAGGGGGTGCGCTGGGAGTATTAACGTGGGGATGGGTAGGGTAGGTATATCCTGTCAGGACAACCATTGGCTGCCGCTCCCAGCAACCACCGCGGGTCTGGTCCTTGGCCTCTACAAAACCCTGGGCTTTTTAAAAAAARAATTAAAAAAAAAAAAAAAAAGGTTGAGGGATGCTTGTCCTGTTGAGATCAAGGGGGCAAGCCGCAAAGGAGGAACACAAGGCAGGGAAAAGACAAAAGCCAGGAGACAAGAAAAGTACGAGTACTGAGAGATCAAGCAGCGGAAAAAATAAAAGCTGATGATGATAATTTTTTTTTGTCCGACTTGCTCAGACGCATCAGGAGGCTGAACCCTCAACAATCTCTGGAATCCCCACCTTTAAAAAAAAAAAAAAAAAAAAAAAAAAAA